AAGACTTCTTCTTTCAAGTCTTATCCACTACTCTAAGCAGAGATTTGACCAATTATATCTTGGAGTATTCTATCTCCTTTACTGAGAGTAGAGATTCCTTATTGTACATTCATTTGCTTCCATGACTCTATTAAGAATCCTGATGAGCACCTTCAAGCTATGCCTAATTTAGCATGACTGTATAGTGCCCTCAAAGATTAACAACAGAGCCACAAAACATCTATGATGCCTCAAGTCTAAGGATTAGTTTACACCATTGTAACTTATGAGTTCCAGCTTGACATGTGAGTAAAGACTTCCATGTTGTAACTCATGTGTTGGATCGCGTTCAGTGTACTTGTTCTTCTACAAGCACCTACACACATATCGATGTGTCTCCACACTTAATGACTTGAGACCTTGCCATTCCCTACATATAGAGACGATACTATGTGTACTGGTCTTTACAGAATATTGACGCCCAATCAATATTCCTATGACCAAGAACATATTCAGGATTAAGGAATGGTGAGAAGTCTCCATGTATGCAATCTCATTACATAGCTCTCATATCAACTTGTGTATTCCTTGGACTATGGTTGTTCTACATATTGAAAGATAATATAGGATGATTTAATGTATAAAATAACTTTTCTTGCCCATTGATAGTATAATATGTCCTTTATCAAAGATGTCCTTAACTCTAACTATCACATAATTAGTTGGCTTTAAGGGAATATTTCTAACAAATCGCATTACCCAAATCTTATAACTTATAAGTTTGGGATCCTCCTACAATGTTATGGTAAACTATTGTAATACCGGTCCTTAATCTTGTAAACCCTCGTGTTTACTAAAATAAGAACCTCATTTAGTACTTTATTATGTTACAATACATATATAAAATTTAGAGTATTTTAGTTGAAATTACACATATTATAAATACTATATTTATGAGTGGATATTCTTATTTAACAATTTTTTTTTATAGATGGGAAGGGGAAACCTCTATAACAAGGATATGAACAAAAAATCAGAGGAGGATTATGAGGGAAATTTTTTGTGGGAATATGAATATGAGAATGACAATGTATTAATTTATTAATTTATTTGTTTAGGCATAGAAATAAGTTTGTAAAATCATATTTTGAATATGCTATGAGTCATATTCATGAAAATATATATAGTTTTAATTTTAAGACATTTGTCTCAAATTATTTTAGAATTAGCTTGAATTTTAAAATTTCGTACATGAGAAGCTAATGAGAGGGTCACTCATTAAAATTTTGTACATGAGAAGCGAATGAGAGGGTAACTCAATCACTTTCTTCCCCTTCATTACCCCAATTAGTATTTTGTTATGTTACATACTTATATAAATTTCGAGTATTTTAGTTGAAATTGTATATATTATATCTAAATACCATATTTATGTATTATATATTGATTAAAAGTGCAATATATATTATTTAAGTATTATATTATTAGATATTCTTATTTAACATTTTTTTATTAATCGGAATGTGAACCAATTATATTACGGGGATATGAACCAAAAACCAGAGAAGGATCATAAGGGAAATTTTTGTTGGAAGATGCTATGAGTCATCTTCAAAAAATAATATTAATTTTTTTTTATAAGACATTTGTTTAAAGTTATTTTTAGAATAAGCACGAATACATATATATTTTTATATAATAATATGTCATATTAAGAAGTAATTATTGTGTGGCTTCAGAGTACAGTCATATAATATTTATTATAATATAAGTGGATATATTGATATTATGTCTTAAAAGTTGAATATCTTATCGTTGATTGATATTATAACATGTGAACGAGTTATACTATGTAGTAGTATTTTAGTTCCTTATAATAATTTATTCACATTTAAGAAATAACAAAACAAAAAGAATAGTTTAGATGTTCAAAAATTATTTATGGTTACAAGTAAAAAAAAACAATTTCAATTTGGCTAATTGAATTTATATAAAGTTACCCAAATTGTATTGTTTTTTGTTACAAATTATATAAAGCCACCCCTAATTCATGAATCATGAAAAAATTTGCAAGCGTTGTGAAATAATTGAAATAATTGTAACAAATTGCATTTTGAAACTTGCAATGCATGAAATCTACATTATTGCACTTTAACCCGTTACCTTCAAATGACAGTGAACACATTTTTTTTAAATTATTTAAAAAGTTGGTGCATTGATATGCCAGGTGCAGCCTAAAATTACAGTCTAAAATTCTGAGTCTACCAAACCAAGAAATCTTAGATATACCATAATTTCGTCTTTTTTCTTCATTTTGTTTTTCTCATTCTATCTGATCCAAGAAAGCCTTTAGATTCCTATCAGAAGAGCCACCTTCACTCACAGCCTCTCTTGCCAAACCCTTCCATTTCTTAGCATTTCTTCTCAACTCTTCACCAATCTCCCCACTTCCCATGACCAATTCTAAGCACCTCTTGAGCTCCTCACCTACCACAATCCCCTCATCATTTGGTGTCACCCTAACTCCAATCTTCCACGTGTCCTCAATCAACTTGGCATTGGTCCCTTGGTCCGTCCACTGAGGAAACGCCACCACAGGCACCCCGGAAACCAGGCTCTCCAAGCTTGAATTCCACCCGCAATGTGTCACGAAACAACCCAATGAAGGGCTTGACAAAACCTCCACTTGGCTACACCATGGCACTATCTTCCCAAGCTCTTCCAACTCCTCTCTGCAGCTCAGTTTCTCTTCCTCCTTCTTGGCCTCCTTATCTTGTCCATTGCTTTCTTCTTTTTCTCTAATCACCCACAAGAACGGGCGCCCGCTGTCCAGCAACCCTTTCGCGATTTCCTCCATCTGGGGCTTCGACAGAACGGAAATGCTTCCAAAGGACACGTAAACCACGGACCCTTCGGGCCTCGAGTTAAGCCACTCGATGTACGAAGAGTCCTCTGATTTTTGGAAATGATCGCCGCGGAATGACTTGTCGGATGGATCCTTGCCGTCCAAGAAAGCAGATGGAACCAATGGCCCGATTCCAATCAGATTGTACTTGTCAATTGCTTTCAAGGCCTCTGGCTCCAGCGCATCGAACGTGTTCACCAGAATGATGGGCTTGGTTTCTCTCTCGAGCAGCTCAAATTGCTCTTCAAACAAGGGAAGTGCGAAACCGTACGGATTTGAATCCACCATGAAAGAGGGAAGGTCACGGCTGGCGAGGGATAGTGGCAGTCCTGGTAATTCTATTGAACATAAAGCGCCATTAGTATGAGTAGTACTAGTACTGCTCCGAATGAGGTCTTTGC